CATTTTGCAGTTTTAATTTCCATTTTCGTAAACAGCATTCAAAACCCTATCGACCTATCTGGGTCTGAATTCAAAGTTCCAAGATAAGTAGACTACCCCTCCCTGGTTAGAAACATACTTTGCTCGCATGCATCTCTTCATGGAAAGCTTCCGAATATTGTCTCGAGCATCCAGCTAGCTTGTAAAGGCTTCGGGGCTGGAGTTTCAATTTCTGCCACTGAAAGGTTTTTGCGTCGGAACCAAGCTGTTCATGTGAGCGCCCCATTGAGTTCATTAGACAAGTTCCCTCATGAGGAATGCAATTTTAGTTTGAGTGAACTTGAATATTTTTCATGCTGTCACGTAGCTACTGGAAAGGATGTCCCACACTTCTACTTGAACATTCATGAAAAGTTCTAATAGTCCGACAGAACCCCTGAACTAACGATGGCACTCAGCCTCAGCACTTTGCAGACGATGACTGCAGATTTGAAACCTGCATAAGAGATTAATTTGTACCCCGTTGCCCTGTGAGCACCCATACTGAGACGGCTTAGCCGTAGCCTTGGAGAAAGCCGTCGTAGGCTATTTTATGGTTAGTATTTCCAAATAATGGAGCATACTTGAATATATTGCCTTTCTCCGACTACTAGGCACTTATATTTTTCTGCCTATCCCAAACGATTTTGGACCACTCAGCTCTCGACTAAACCGAGATTTATGGCATTGCTTATAGGATTCTGTTACGTTTATGGGTTCGGGAAAACCTTTTTTAAATAATTTCCTATACTGTTGTCTCAGAACTTGGAAAAGAGCTCTTTCATTTGTATTCCTGGTTATAACGCAGGCGGCACAACTAAGGAACATGACACCTCCTTCATAACATGGGAGCCATCACTTAAATTCCTGGCATCTGTTCATTCGAGTCAAGCGACAAGCCATTTATGGAAATCTGTTCTGAAAAGCCGGCTATAACTTGGACTACTTGGGGGCTCTTTATCCGCCGTGAAAAAAATATTCTACGATAGCTGCTCCTGGTGAATAGCTCAATCAAAGCCGTGCTAAGGCATGACTTTGCTGTGGAAGGGCAAGATCATGCCCAGGAAGGATTTGTAGAGATTCATATTTTGACATTTAATAATTAAGAGGGCCAGGTCATCTTCGAGTGAATCTCTCATTCCCCTCTAGAACTTGCGTCAACGCGCTGTTTTGAAGGGAGCTCCCTCCCTTTCCCCGCCCAATGTGTCGCTCGCTCTCTGGTGTCTCTGTAAAAGGAGGATTAGTACAAGTAAAATGTAATGTAAAAAATAGGGGAAGCCAGCTTCCCCCAAGTCGAGTTCCATGTTCCGTAGAAGCTACTCTTTACCTATTCTTTGCATATGGTTTTCCCGAAACCTCTTATGCATAATTCACTCGCTGTGGAAGCTGCCTGAATGGCAATTTTTTCGGTTTCTTCTGTCTAAACTACTGTACCGACAAAATGGTGCCTTTTCTTATGGTCCATGAAAATTGCGGCTTTTAAAACGGAATGAATCGTCTAGCTAAATTGACATCATAAAATAGATGAAGTGAGCTGCGGCCTTCCGGTTGAAGTTGTGAAGGTAGTTAGGCAGCTAAACATAATATACTGAGTATCGCTTAACAGCTAGGAATGATGCCAAACGCTAACGAGAAGCTTCTAATGTATTTCAATCATGGGTCTCAGTTCAGGCAAAGGGCAGTATCTTGCTGGTTAGCGGGTGTAGAGAAAGTACACCCCCTAACCGGGAAGAAATTCGTGGCTAGAGCGGTGTACTTTCTTTCTACATCTGTTTAATCTAGGATGTGCGTGATACGTGAAGGAAAGGAGCAGAGCGATAGCTCCTGATAGCCGGTTCACTGATAGGTACCCGAGATAATGGAGAATCGTTTTTGAAGTGTATCCATCCCGAACCTGTACAACAAACTCTACTATGGAGCATGGAATAAGGTTCTGGAGTGCCTTATTAGATTTTCTCCCGGTGCTGTTCTCTAGGTTACCAGGTCTCTTGCTAGTAACTAACTATTGCCTTGGTTCTTTTTGGTCGAAACATCCTCTTATAAGCAAGAGACACTGCTCCACACCGAACATAGCCGGGATCAGTTCACGTCTTGGTCAACGAAGCTCCAGACATCTTTAGTTGCTTGTTGGTTCTAGGGCTATGATAATAGCTGCCATATGTTTGATTGGAGGGAAAGCATCAAGAAGCCTATGACCAAACACAGGTAGGGCTTTTGGGATGAGGCCTTAGCTAAATGAATCATAGTAATAAATCCCTACGAGAGTGTCTTGTTCCATTATCCTAATGGAATAGTAAGGGAGAGTCTTTCGTATGAACGATGAGTAACTCTAGTTTGGTTTGTCCTTGTTCTAGGCAGAACAGGCAAGAGTGCTTCTTACGCCCAAATAAGATTTAGATACATATCTCGCTTAGGCTGGGACAAGTACTACATCCTTTCGGATAATTCCGACGATTTCCTAAGAATTTCCAATCTTCTTCTCATTGTATGCTCGTTTCATTCTTCTTTGTTCCATTTTCGCATGAATACATTTCAAGACGGGGGTACTTAGGCTTGATTGCTTCCCTCGAAATTTGTGTTTATTTCTCGATCCGTAGTACAACCAAGCAGCGACGCATACTTCATTAAATGGCAAGTGCGCGTACGCGACGCCTGCATTCCCCCGAACCAGCTGCCCGCGTCTGCACTGTGAAGAGTGCTGATGGATGTTCTTAGGAGGCCCGTCTCCCTCATTCAGTCCGTTCCGCACGTCATCCATGATGCCATGTCCGTTTACGTCATCCATCTGCGCCTACCCACAAATCGATGAGGGAAACGCCTGTCATGTTTTTTCTTTTGAACGGCAGTGATGCTTCTTCATGGGGACGTAACATGTCAAGGACGATGTCCGACATGGGTTATCAACACGTGCCATGATGATGGAAGATTGACTTTCAAAAGCGGATACGCCATGCCATTCATGTCCATGTCAAAAGTGCGGAAGCAATGGATTAGTATCGAGCCATTTTTGGTGACTCGGAAGGGTGAACACAGATTTGTATTCTACCCACATCTCTTACTTCCAAGAATCTAACAAGGGACGTCATGGCTCCCATGGGGAGAATTGAATTCACGAGCGAGCGTTTTCAGTCGTTTCTTTACCCGACCCTATCGCGCGGGTACTGAAGTGATAGGACTTTCTTCACCCTGCAATGTTTGTCAAAGTCATCAAACAACAGAACCTTCTCCATAAGGAAGCCAAGCAGTTCAATTCCATAACTGACTTCATATTTGGAAGTTGGGTCAAATTCGTGGCGCTTACCTTAGGCAGAAACGAGGTACCACCTCTATTCCTCTTTCCCAGACTAATTCGACTTCTCCGCGATTGATACTATCCCTGAATCGTCTGAGATATTATACTTCAGCATTCTTTGGAATTCACAATACTAGTCGGTGCTGAGCAGTGCTGACCGCAGACGACTAGAATGAGCGGAATACGAAGCGTTCGAGAGAGTGCAAGAGTCTACGTCGGGCGAGAGATGGAGTAGCAATCGAATGCTTAATAATCTGTTGCCCTTATTACTTTATTTTTTTGCGTCATTTCAATCCATGGAACTCAATTTGACGAGCTTTTTTCGACGTTGATGTCATACTAACTTCATGATTTTTTAGTACTGCATTCTGGGAATGAAAAGGAAATTGAAGCTATTTTTTAATATTAAATCCCCTTTTCTCATCGTTACTCTTAGTTTCAGGGGGAAGCGTACGTTTGTACCTCAGTGCCGTTAGATCCTGAAGCGGAGCATTATATCAGTAAGTTATGTATGAGTTACTTTTCAGTTAACTTTTTCCAAATTGTCATTTTTCAGCCGGATACAAGCCTGTCCTCGAAGGAAAGAATGCTCATCATATGCTGTTGTTTGGATGTGAAGAACCTGGAAGTGACGATGAAGTCTGGTAAGTAAAGTCTGTCTTGTGAGGATTTATACTTGAGGGGTAAAAAAGTCTCTGAAAAGAATCGGACTGTACGCCTGATCGTCTACTGGTAGCTGTTTCAGATTCTTCAGGGGGATTGGGTCTTGAACGGCTTGGTGGGCAAAGTTTTATTGCTTTGGATAGAGCATAAATCTACGCCGATGGGCTTTTATGGATCTATTAATATAAAGGAAAAACCTTAACTTCAGCAAATTTTCTCTGCTTCGGGATGACGTTTTCATACTTGGATCTTCGTTCATTTTTTTAGATCAACCTCCCATTCGGGGATCATCCTGCCCGTAGTTGAGAAGGAACTTGGAACTTCAACAGAGCAGGTCGCTCGAGTTGGAATTCAGAACGAAACAACTTTCGAAAAAGTTTGAAGCCGTGAAAGTTCGAAGCACTTGCTCTACCAAAACAATTGACAGGAGGAAGTAGTTAGGGGGGTTTGGGAAGGAACATTACTCTTGATAGCCTAACCGTGTCGCCGTTCAACAACTATGAAGGATAAAACCTTCTACTTTTAACGACGTCATCTGCACACGCTTCTGAATGCAATTGCTACTTACATGCTTTGAGATGGCTGACACATGACGTGACTTGAAGCCTTTTATTTGGCTTATAGCACATTGGCATGGTTTGCAATCAACCAAATAGGAGAAACAACTAATTCTGCTGTCAAAGTACTTTCTGCTTCCTTCCACACAACGTTGTTCGAATAATCTTTGAAGCTTTTCGAGATTACAGCACCTTGGCCCAACGACTAAAATAAAAACTTGTTTGCGAAGGGAATGGGCAGTTATTTTGGGAAGAAGTGCTTGAGGGCAGAAATTGGAAAGCGGAATCGGACGCTGTGTAAGTGTGGAATATTGAGGGGATTTTGGTCATTCGAAGGGTTCGACGAAGTAATGAAAGGAGAAATGAAGCTCGGCATGAAAAACGGAAAGGCATCTTTCATAGTCCACGACCGGTCGCGCGACCGGTCGTGGACTATGAAAGATGCCAAATTCCATTGCCTTCTAGGGATTACCATGACGTCATGTGAAATTTCATGGTCTCATTTTACTGATGCCTTGCTTCGAAACGATTATTGAAAACACAGGGACTGCGGAGAGATGACTACCGAGATGGAGGGAATGGTCCGAGCACCCGTATGCAAAACCAAGCAGTCAATCCTCTACGCATGGGCTAAGGATGCACCCGAACTGAAGTTGCCGAAAGGTTCGTCTTTTGTTGTTTTTCTCTCTGATTCTATCCTTTCTATTACTCTGTCACTACATCTTCCACATCTCCAGATGTCGCATTCCCCGTTGGTGGAGAGACGGGTGTCAACTACCTTGTTCTGCAGGTATGCAGCTATCTTTTTGTTGTTCTTGTTGCCTATTCTATCACTGAGCAAAACCCCGAAGATTGTAATGGAAATGGGCTTTTCCAGCTTCACTACATGCATGATCGTAATGAGCCGGATCACAGTGGTGTCACCCTGTACCACACCGAGGAACCCCAACCGAAGACTGCCGCTACTATGATTCTCGTCACTGGAGGACTTCTTCCACCAAAGACTACAGGTGCGCCAAGTTTTGTGAACTTTTTTATGGGGCAGGGATGACGAATGAAGGCTAGAGCTACCTAGTAGTTTTTTTTACCTCCCATTTGATCGGTCCATTAAAATCGATCCATTCGGGACTAATTGCAGTTCACTTTTCGTCGAAAATCCAATTTTGTTGGACGCAGTTTTCGTTCTCGCAGTCTCATTGAAAGACTTCAGTTTTTCGTGAAAATAATCGAGCTTCCAGAAAATTGCTAGGAACTTTCTCTAAACATTTCTCAGGAACACTGGATGAGCCTTTCCTTTTCGAATGGTGTTCTGACGTGTCTTGTTGCAATTGCAGTTCCCAGAGAAGGTGTCGTCCTAAAGAAGTACTTTAGCCTAATGAGCTAGTGGGGAACAGCATCAAACGCGAAATTAATTGGGCATGGCAGCCGCACAAAACTGACATTCGTATCGTTTTGCCATAAAAATTGGGGGGGGGGGGGGG